TATATATATATATATATATTTCTAAAATAAATTAACATATTTTTGAAAAAATTCAAAGCAACATTTAGATCTTCTGAATGTTTTAAAAAATAGCTATAGCTTCATAAAACACACAAGGCATGTATTAACTCTAACAAAAAACATAAATAAAATAAAGTAAAATAAAAATTATAAAGCAAAAAATAAAAAGTACTGCTCCCAAACCGCCGCGAAGTGTTTTGCAGGTAATATTGGCTCTATGCTCTCATAAACAAATAGAGATTGCTCCCATGTGAAGTGTTTGTTTTCAGGCTCTCAGCCAAAAAAAACAGCGATGAACGAAGAAAACTCGCTGCATTAAATCTGCATCACAACTCATCCTTTTGTCATTCTCCCAGCATTTTATTTTTTTGAAGCATTTGTGAGATTTAAACTTATCTGTACAGCAGTTAAAAATAATAATAAGTGAATGAGTTACAACAGTTTTGTGATTTCTGTGCTTCTTGAAAAAGGTAGCATTGAAACGTATTAATGAAGAAAAATTAAGGCCATTAGAATCAAAGTAGAAGCAAATGAACTCATATTGTAGCGGCAGACTCAGCTATTACATGTGGCATGAGGGACTGAGGCTCAGGAGGTATGAAACATGAGTGATTGTACAAGTTGAGTTCGTAGAAGCAGACGAAAGACCAGAAGATAATTCCTGCGCCTTTTACATGCGAAACAATCCAGATAACGTATTGGGAACGAGAACACAGGACTGCTGTGCTGCTTTATCTCTTGCTGGCCATTTTTTTTTTAACAAAATACAGAAATTCAATTGTTATCGAGCAGAGCAAAAATGATGAGAGTTTAATAAAATTTCATGATTGGATGAGCTCTGATAGCTTCACTAGGCTATGGCAGACGTTGTTAGAGCATTCGCCATTGTTATGGCGTAGCACAATTCTTCTGCTGCGGTTTTCAAACGGCCACAAAAGGACTGCTGAGTCGTACTGTCAGTTTCTTAGAGTTCTAAGAACAGTGAGGGTAGGAGAACTGAATAATAAGGCCTTAATCACGAGCAAATTGGATGTAATTTGCATATAAAGTACAGCGGTTGGGCACCAAGTGCCAAGTGGGTCCACTGCAATAATAAGATCCTAAAAGTTTTGGGTTCCACTTGACACGTGGCGTCCTATCATTAGACTCTGTATATACATCTAAAGTGCTGACCAAATATTTTTTTCCTTAATTATAGCAACTCTTTCATTTTAGCTGCTATTTTTAAAGCTGGCCTGCTTTGAAATATTAAGCAATTTGTCAATATATGGATAAAAACGCAGGTGCACAGGTAGCACTATCAGCTATAATTCTCCCTCTCTCCCTCTCTCCCTCTCTTTCTCTCTACCATTTGTATATGTTTATACCTAAAAATGATATGCACAAATGTCGAGCCAATCTAACAGCCCAAGAAAAATGAACAAGAATAACTTTGCTCTTTAAATATGTAATTTTTCTATTTTTATACCGCTCCTATCTTTATGAATAGACCAACATGTCACACGATTCTTATGTATTTAACAGTCTAATTTTTATACTTAAATACATGGCATTAAAATGTTTTTACAACATAACAAAATACCACTTGATGTGTTAGCAAAAAATTTTATCATCAGGCTTAAACCTATAAGCATTTTGAATTGCAGTTGAGTTCAAGTCAGCATAGACTAAACATACTAAACACTTAAAGTGTAGTCGAAGACTTCAGTGCATCATTTGAATAACCAAATAATATTAAAATTTGACATATTCATTGTCAAATCGAGCGGCCTGACGAGAGATATCGAACGAACTGAAGATCATTTGATTCTGATATATTAACAATTAAATATTGAAAATGGTAAAATACTAAAAATAATGACAACATCAAATTTTGACCAATTGTTTATGTGCTGAGTTTATTTAATTAAAATATAAATGCAACGTAAAGTGGTATAATAAATAGCTCAAATTTTAAGCCAAAAATTTTTACAATTTTGTTTTTATGGATTTGAAGAGTTTTTTATGAGGATGTATTTAAACATTTTTTACATTGTTTTTAAGATAAAAAAAATTCATATTTATATCCATATCACTTAAAATTTTAACATCACTCAAAAATAATACCATCATTATCTTTTAAAATCAAAGAATAAAATTTCATGAATAATTTTATGACACTAAATGTTTAATATCTATGAATATTAAATTTTAAGTGTTAGATATTAAGTTAGAATCAATCATATGCCCCAATGAACTTTACTTACTTTAGTGAGTAAATTGAGGTTGATTTATTTCAAATTGGTTCAACTTCCTTGATATTGCAGCAACCTAAGATGTAAGAATTGAGATTGCATCTGTATCATAAATATTGACTACATTTTTAGAATTTATCATTGTAGATGACCATTAAAATTCATTTGGAGTCATTTCTTCAGTTAATAAATATGATTTATTAAATGATTTTAACATTAATGATCCTACAACAACGTCCATCCAAAATTATATTTTAGAATTTATCCATCTCCAATTGACCCATTTATGAAAATCTTATCGTTATGACAGTTTCAAACCATACAAATTTCCTATTTCCACAACACAGACTATTCCGACAATAATTGCAATGCCGCAACTCACAATCAAACAAAAGCCCTCCCCCTCCCTCCCGTTCCCGTGAAGCACCGGCCCCACGAATCGCTTATTTTTCTAAACCACACAAGAAAACCTACCCATCCTAACACCCACATATAACAAAAAAACACACCCTAACTACACAGCTCCCGCGCAAACCCAACTCTAGCTCCTGCCACGTCCACCAGAACCCGGTGGTTCTGCTGCTGGTAGCTCGCAATCACGTTCACCACCGCGTTCACGTTCGCCGGCGCGGCCGCTAACGCCAAACAAGCGAGCGGCCGCCCGCTGCTGTGTATCAGAGCGTTCTCCGCAGGTAGCGCGAGATCCAATCCGTCCAAATGCAGCGTGACCACCGGCGGCGGCGCCGCCGTTACATCATTGTTTGCCGTCGAGTAACACGTGTCAAACGCTCCCAGCGTCTCGTACCCATTCGTTGCGTTCACTTGGCGCCTGAACTCGTCGCGTATGGCGGCGTAAGCTGCGGCGACGAAGCGGGTGATAACGGTGCCGGAATCCACCACTGTTCCGGCCCCGGTGTAGGGGTCGAAGGTGAATGAGTTGGGCGGCGTGGCGACCCGAATGCGGCCCACGCTGACACCAGTGAGATTGACGTAGTAGAGCGAGGGGCGGTGGGGGTTGACAAGGAGAGGGGTGGAGCGGATATGGGGGGGCTGGTGGAGGGGGCCGAGGCGGAGGGAGCCGGAGAAGTAGTAGGAGTTGTAGCTAGGGAGGCAGTATGAGAAGACGGAGTGGTAGAGAGAGGTGGTTTGGGAGAGAAGGGAGGCGGGGCCGCGGCCGAGGGCGAGGAGGCCCTGTTTGGGGAACGAAGGGCCGGGGAAGACAGAGGTGACAGCGCCGAAGGTGAAGGATGGGATGTTGTCACCGGCGAGGTGAAGGGTGTCTTGAGAGAGAGCGGCGGAGAAGGATGAGTCGCCGCCGTAGGATTGGTTGTAGGTGCAAAGGGAGGATGGGGAGGAACAGGGGAGCGGGGTAAAGAGGGGACAGAGGGAGGAGGAACAGGGTAGGGGTTGGAAAGTGGAAGAAGATGAGAAGTTGGAGGAGGAGAGGAAGGAGGAGTCGGCGGCGGAGTCGAGGGCGAGGAGGAGGGGTTGAGGAGGGGAGCCGATGGTGGCACGGAGGAGGTAGATGGCGGAGTTGAGGATGTGTTGGCCGGAAGCGATGGGGACGGAGAAGGTGGAGAGGGAGGAGAGGAAGGAGAGGCGGGCAGGATCAATGCGGTGGGTGAGTTGGAGGAGGGAGTCGAGGGGGGTGGTGGGAGAGGAGATTAATGGGGAGCATTTACTGTTGATGTGGAGGATGGTGATGTCACCGGGAGTGGAGGGAGATGAGCACGGGTTGAAGGCAGCGAGGGAGAAAGGGAGGAGGAGGAGGAGGAGGAGGAGGCAGGGTAGGAGAGCCATGGGTTGGGGAAGGGTGGTGGGATGTGGTGAAATGTTATGGGGGGTTTTTGGTTTATTTAAAGGAGAGGGAAGGGGGAAGCAAAAAAGAGCAACATAAACATTTACACCAGAACTCTCCATTTATTTATTAAGCACAATAGGATGTTTACACTAAATATGCAATGTGGGGCATGTTTGTGGATTGTCTTCAGTCACGGAGAGAATGGTGGCCATTAAATAGATGCTACTGCATCATGTCATGCTAAACACTAGGCCAATTCTATGATGATTTTAGTCATAATTTCACGCAGAGCTAGGTTAGAAGTGAGTCATGAAATCATTGTGCTAGTTAGACCTTCTAGATGTTGCGCAAAATATGAGGCATTTTGTCTCCCCTTTTGTTTAATAAGATCTATTTATAGGAAATATTATGTCTAAGCTAAGAAGCATGTATGTGTGTGTGCACTATATGCCCGCACGCGCTAGTGGATGTTTTTTTATCGTTGTATTAAATTTTAACATTTCAGACATTGCTAAAATGGATTGAAAGTTATAAGAAAATTAATGTTTAAAACCATTACAATCGAGCATGCTAGCAATTTTGAACATTACTAAAATAGATTTTTTGATATATTAAGACTATTTATGAGGAATTTTACATACATACCACATATTTCTTTTGTATCGACATATATACACCTTAAGTTTGATATATACATGCATGACACGGTCACAAAGTTATATAGGAAAAATTTTATTTCATTTTTTTAAAATAAATCATAGTGGTGTTGCATGCCATAAAATTCTCTATAGTTGAGAAATTATATCTTGGTTTAGTATAATTTTCTAACACACACATATAGATATTTAAAAGAAAACTAAAATTTTTATGTGGAAAAATCTTGGAAAAAGAAAAGCTCATGAGGCTCGACTCAATAAAAAGTAATTCACTAAAAAGTTGAAAACACCATTCTCATGTATTTGAAAAGATGAAATTATAAAATGATGTTATCGGATATAATATAAGTACTTGGCTTTAATAGCTGCAGTTAGTTATAAAAATTATCGGTGGTGGTTGAAGACAATCTCTTGTGGCCACCGGTGAACTTTGGTGGTTCAGTGAAAGCTTAGGTGGCCGGTGAAAACTACCGAGATAAGATTTAAGCTTTAGTAGAGTTCACTCTCTTCTATTCTACACATCCCCTCAAGTGAAGAATGAAGAGCTATTTATATTTTTTGATAAGTCATTTTTATAAATTGGGTCAATCTCCCAAAACATTCCATGGTATATATATGGGGGCAACCCATGCAACTACATATTCGATTACCCACTCCTTAAGGCAACAGTCGCCAGAGGGGGATTCGAACCCCAGTCCAGAGAGTACTTGCATCGTCGAAGCGGATGCTCTACCAACTGACTTTATATATATATATAAGTAAAATTTAGGCATTAGATATATAAATACAGGGGAATTGGTACAGAAAGTGCGTGGTAAAATCTGCCAAAAAGTCTGAAAAAAAATCAAAGCATAAAATTTGTTGGATCGGGAATTAATCAAGTGCATTTATATAAAAAATAATAATAATAATAAGGGAAAGAATGGGGCTCTAAGGAGAAATAGTCCATAGATTTTAGTGCTCAAATAAAGAGTACAGCGAGTGTATAGCTACATTTTGGGATAATTTTGTAACGTTTGTGTCCTCAACTTTGACCTTCTAATTATAGATTTATGGTGATTTTGACTATGATATATATTGTAAAAGTTGCAAAATAAATAAATAAATAAATAAATAAAGAGCAGAGAAATAGATGCTGAGTTACAGAAGAATGAATTTTACTCGCATAGCAAGGTAGTATTACACAGTGATATAAGTACATATAGCAAGAGGTAGCTGAGTTGGTTATAATATGTATTGCTGAGATGAAATTATTTTTGGATCGGTGGTGCAGATTGCTGCTGGTACAGAGTAGTGGTAGTGCACTATTTGTTTGGTTACAGGATAAGTGGTATTAAAATCTTCCCCCACAGGCTGATGGTTTCTGGCGGAGTCGTCAACTTGGATCTGAGAAATTGAAACTGAGCGTTTGAGAGAGCGTTCGGGAAAAGGTCTGCCACTGGATCCTAAGATGTGATGTGATGCGTCGTAATGTGTTGTTGCTTCATAAGTGGCAGTAGACATCAATATGCTTAGTTCTAGCACGAAAAAATTAGATTATTAGTTAGAGCTATAACGAATATGTTATCATAGAAGATGGGTGTGTGTTGAGGCGGTGGAGGATTAAAATCTTTTAGTATAAAACGGAGCCAGATGAAATCCGCGGCAGTTGAAGTTAGAGCGTGGTATTTAAGCTTCGGTGAAAGATCAAGCAAAGGTGACTTGTCTTTTGGCAAACACCTTGACTTTTTAAATAAAAAATTCTGAAAAAGAAAAAAAACATAAGCTCTAGCCCAGTTGAAATGATTCACTATATAATTTTTGGTACATAAGTTCATTCTTCTCCTTAATTAGGGAAGTTGAGTTACAAAGATGATCAATATAAATGTATTATATTGGTTTATATATAATAGTTGTAGTCTGACTGTAATGAATGTTAGTTCTTGATGATAGTAGACAGTAAACGTTGTAATTGATTGCTATAGAGGCAATAGTCTGTTGTGAATGTTGTAGGCAAAGGTAGTAGCATCTGCTTACCGTGCAGGCAATCGTTGATATCCATGGTTGTAGTTGGTCGTGTGGATCGCACATGATTTCAAGAGTGTCGACTGACCACTAAGGTCATAGTAGTAAGACAGGAGTTATGACCCACGTAGATCGCAGTTGTTCACATTGCTCGTAGTGGTGAGCTGTGATGACATCCATAGGCCACAAAGACCAGAGTCAAGAGTTGCATAAGTTGTGAACCACATAAATCGTAATGGTGTGTTGTGATGATGTTTGTAGATCGCGGGAGTCGGAGTTGAAAGCTGCACTGGTTATTAACCACGTAGGTAGTAGTTGGTCATGTGGGTCATTGTGGTGAGTTGTGACGACATTCGTGGGCCTCTGGGCTGCAAGAGCTGTGAACCACATTGTTGACCTCATTTTTAACGAGGTCTTAGTCTCTTATTCCTAGAACTCAGGATCTAGCTTTAAGAGTTTCTTATTGATCATCCTAGCGGACTAGTAATGGAGCCCACCTCCCATAGAACATCGAGCCACATCTTGACTCATTTTTGTGCAGACCTCGCACAAGTAGTCCCATGCACTCGACTCTTAGTTGCAAGGGCTAAGGACTAACATGTAGAGGGCCCAAAAATGAGATCCCATAGGATCAGACAGTCTTAGGTAAACTCTTCGTAACTCGAGCACTCGCGAACAACACAATTTGACACATTTTTGGCCCGACCGTCAGCGAGCTTGCCCGAACTACTCCGGATGAAGAAATGGACCACACAGATGCGTCCGGGATGTCGACTTTAGCTAGGAAGGGCATCCATATCACTATGGTTATGCACTTGCACAAACGACGCAAAAATAGATGCAACTTTTTTTTAGCGGGGCGCGGGCCCAGGCTTAACCCAGGTTCAACTCGGATTTCATTCGGGCTGGACTCGGGCTGAACAAGAGTTAAACAATTTTGAATTTTAAATTTTGAATTTCAAAAGAAAGTCCCTCCAATCTCACTTTAATCAGATGTTATTAGCTTTACATTTGCAATTTCGCGTAACATTCCTTTGCAATTTTTGTGATAGAATATTGCGTAACGTTCTTTTGCAATTTCCGGGATAGAATATCCCGCTCTCCACCGAAAAGATAGATTCCTAGATTTTGGGAGCACACCCTAGGTGAGTGTTCATTCACCTAATTTTTGAATGAATAATGAAACTAGACACTTGACATTGATTCACAAACTGATTCACAAGACATGAGGATGCACAGGATGCACCGAGACGTAGTTCATTCTTCCTTAATTAAATCAATATTAGAATTCCCGCAATGACTTAACCTACAGTGAAACCCAATGCACCGAGATTTGAGTTTGAACATTACACTCAAACCTCCTGACAATTGGGGACATTTGTTAATGCCACATATAGGTCACCAGACTAAGATAAGTCTAGGATCTAGGTGGCGAGGGCAATGATGACATTGCTTATGTGTGCTTAAACGAATAGTATCTCCAACCTCAAGGATCTTCAATAAGGGAGAGGGAAGGACCTATGATACTATTCGCCGATTTTTGGTGGGATCGTTGCCCCCGACAATCTTAGGTTGTCAGTAGTTCTAGCACGATTAGAGTGACTAGTCTGTGGACTACACGACTTTACAAAATATTTACAAAAATAAAATAAAATTTCTTTTGCATGTTAAAAAGAACTCTGCATAACAAAAGACTTAAACAATAGCTATTGCATGAAAATCAAAGAATTTTTTTCTATGAAAATTTATAAAGGTCCACGGTTAATCACTTGGATTGAGGTTAAGGACTGCCCTCCGTAGATTGTTGGACTGGTAACTCTTGTTCAAGATCAGGAAGCACACAGTCCAGCTCTGAGCCCCCTCTTCTACCAATGTCTTACACCCAGTTCTAGTCTTTCATATGTGGCAAGTGTTTCTTTTGCTTGTGATTTCTACGACTCGTTTTTCTGACTTTCTTGCTGGGTTTTCTCGCCTTGTTTATTTATCTTGCAAGTTTATTTAAATATACTGCAAATCATATTATTACTGCAAATCATATGCAAATCATATTATGCTCGCAATATTAATCACACAACAGTAGCAGATGCCCAGGTACGCTTTTACAATTTATCTACATCATTTTTACTTCACTGCATTTTACATTTCAAGTACCTTTTTGTTTAGCTGCAATTTGTTTATTATTCATGCAAAACTAAAACCGAAACAAAACAAAACTAAGCATTGACACCAAAATCGTGAAACATAAACCACCAATCTCAAGCACTTAAACCCTGGAGCCACCGCGACGGCAGAAGGTTCAGAGCTAAATTCATGGGTAGCACAGCGAGAAACTCAGACGAGCAGCAAGAGGATCTTCTTCAGCAATTTCTTTCCTATTCTAAACAACAACCCTTAGGACTTCGAGGTAGCTCGCCCAACGCGACTTAAATCATCACATCTTTTTTAGACTCATGTACAGCCATGTTGTGCAGCG